AGGACAGCCCTCTTGATTTTGCCTGCGCTGGCTGCTGTGCTCAGCCCAAACCGGGGAGGTGTGATCTGTCTGCAGGGAGTCCCGGGGTTCTGCAGCGTGCGTCTCGCCCGGGCCGGGGAGCTCTGCAGCTGGGAGCTCTTGCTGGGCCGGGGGAGGCTCCGGGCCCGTTGTCGTTTTCTACGTGGAACAGTCTTTGTTGTCAGTTGGGTGCGCGTCTGTGAACTTACGGTGCCTGTCAGTGCGCTTTCATGCTACAAATAATAGTAATGTTAGCATGGCAGTACATGTAAAGAACTTAAGTATCTTTTCTTTCTGTCTAGTTAGGGCTAGATGAGTAGATTGTCATTAAAAACGGCAACCACACCTCACTGCAAAGAAAGTGTCAGCACGTGTGTGAGTCATGCGGTAATCTTTGTGCGCATGAGGGAAGTCCTGTTGCAGTGGGTTCATGGAATATTGTGTACATAGTAACATAAGCTATAAACAGAAAGTAAGGTCTCGTCATACGATGCGCATCTCGCCTGATGGCGATTTCACAGGCAGTGGCTGCCTGAGCGGGGGGCAGCCCCAGGTCGGGAGCGCGGCGGTCCCCGGCGCTGTCGGAGCGCTGCGTCGGATCTCCGGGCTCTTCTGCGCCGTGCCCCTGCCGTGAGGAGGCTGGCCTGGAGCAGGGATTTTCCTGATGGATGTGGCTGGTGCTGCAGCATGAATGGGTTAAGCTGAAGTTGGCGTCTGTGTAACCAGACAGGGAACTCCCTGAGATGAGTCCTTGGCTATCTCGTGTGTTGATGCATCAGAAGGGTTTGAAGAAAGCCCAGCTTGCTGCTTGCTTGCGCTGTAATTATGTTGCTGGAATCCTGTGCTTCAGAGTTTCCCTGATTGCCTGGAGGGGCTGGGAAGGAATTTGCTTTCCCTGATCTATGACTTGACCTGTGGAAGCCTTTTTTGTCCCTGAGAGGTTAGAGATCAGCCACATCAAGACGTGGGCAAGGTGTTCCAGGGTCCCTTTTAGCACTGCGGCCTCGCAGGTGCTGGCTGTGCCTGGCTCGCATGCCCGGGGTTAAACTAACCGGCAGGCTGCGCTGAGGGTTCTAGCGGGTCGGTGCAGCAGGGGCTGCTGGAGGAGTTTGTGTCTCCTGGCCTGCGAAGCACGGCTTGCTCCGTGAGTTCATACCTCACCGGGTGTGGTCCAACGGCACCGGGGTGCCCCAGCTCCTTGTGCCACCCAGCACCTCAGAGTTCTTCCTTCCCCTTTGATCAGAGAAACTCTGCAGCTGGTTTTGAGCGGACTCCTCACTGAGGGAAGAAGCTTGAATGAGTCTCCGCACGTTTCCAAGAAACCTCTGAGTCAGGGCTCCTCGGTTTCTGGAGAAGGCTTCCCTTCCCAGAAGGGCTCGCGCAGCCGGACATGGGCTGCGCTGGTGGCTCTGAGTCATCTGACGGGTTTGTGTTTTTATTATTGTTACTTCTCTTACGGAACAGTTAAATGTTCAAAGCCTTTGGTACAGTTAACGTTCCTGAGTAGTGCTCTGGGGGGGAGGGGAGCCCAATGCCCACCCCGCGCCCGCCTGCAGCAGCTCCCCCTTCCCGCACGCCTGCTTGGCCTCGGATGGTTCCCTCTGACGCCGGTGACTCCTCCGCAGGCCGGGCTGGTCCCAGCTCCGCCTGTTCTCAGGGAGGGTTTTCCAATGGGAATCGAGCCTCTGTCCCTGGGAGCGCTGGTGACTCGGGTCTGAGCTGTCCCTGGCCGGGTTTGCCCGGGGAAGGCGTGTGGCAACGCTCTGGGCTTGCCGCTTCTCGCGGCGATACGACCTGCTGGCTCCCGTGCTGGGAAGCCGGACACTGCTTGACGTCGTACGCGTTGAACGGCAGCGTTTGCATGGGGGTTTAGGTCATGTCCGACGTAGCTTCTCGTGAGCCGGGATTCGCCGTGAGCCAGGCTTGAACTTGGGTTAGTCATCACTGAGAAATGCTGCCCAGAGCGTTATTTAGGTGGTGAAAGGTGCAGCCCAATGCTGTGGGTTTGAATCGATGTGTTTTAGCTTTGTTTTTGTGACAGCGGAGGCCTGCGCTGGCTGAGAGCAGAGTGGTCGGGGCGAGCGGGACAAAAGCCTGCTGCCGGGATTCGCCGTGAGCCAGGCTTGAACTTGGGTTAGTCATCACTGAGAAATGCTGCCCAGAGCGTTATTTAGGTGGTGAAAGGTGCAGCCCAATGCTGTGGGTTTGAATCGATGTGTTTTAGCTTTGTTTTTGTGACAGCGGAGGCCTGCGCTGGCTGAGAGCAGAGTGGTCGGGGCGAGCGGGACAAAAGCCTGCTGGCCAGGTCTCCAGCGTCGTCCCA